ACATTTGGAGAAATATTCCCATAGGTTATCACATGGTATTTTCTCTTGATTTATAAAGGTTTTGCCACCTCAGAATCCTAGAATAATGCTGAAAGGGACATCTGGACGTCTATACTCCATCTGCCTGCTCCAAGTGGGGCCAACTTCAAACTCTGAGCCGGCTGCTCAGGGCCCCATCCAGTCAAATTTTGAATATCTCACAGGATGCAGATTTCCCATCCCCTCTGCGCCTCTGGTCCCACATCAAGCCACCCTAGTGTGAGAAATTCTTTTGCTTCTCTTTAGTCAGAGTTTGTCAGCCCATTTCTCTGACTTATCAAGGTCCTCCTGAATGGCCTCCCTCCTCTCCCTTAAAACTGAAGGGGGAAATATGGAATTTGCTAAGACGTGGCTGTATCACCTAACCACCCTTATGTGAAGGTAGAACCCGTATTTTTGAAGTTGTTTTTTTAAAAAATGAATGCCAAACAATACCTCATACCCTCAAGAAGTTTACAGTTTCAATCAAGGGTACTCAGTCTTTTTCAAGTTACAGGCTCTTGCAGTAGAAAAGAGCGAGCTGCAGGATGAGTCCTGCAATCAACACAGCTCAGATTGCTTTTCTTAGCAGCCTTCATAACTAGGAGTGTCAATCTGTATAATTCCCAAGATCTGTGTCCCACTTGTTGAAAACTGCTGGTCTAAATTACATTTCGCCCAACAAAGAGCCCTGTCTCCCTCCTTCGAACAACAAAGTTTCTTTCAATATCAGATAATACAAACAGTCCATCTCAAACTCCTAAATACTGGTAAGCCAGTCTGCAGCCAGACTGGCTTTATCTTTATCCAGGGCAACTGCGATATCCTGACATCTCATGAAATTCATGTCTTAGAGCGTGCTGGCTCTTTTAGACATCCATAGAAAGCCAAGCTGTCTGAAAAGGGGATTTACAGCCAGCTGGACTCCTCTTAAGAAAATGCAGAAGAGAGAAGCAAAAGTGAAGCTCTGCTCCTTGAAGAGGTCTGACAGCTAACTCCAACCTCAATGGAAGCACCTCCCTCCACTTGTGAGGCATCACCGAGCCTTTCCTGGCGCTTGGTGCCAAAGCCAGGTTGACTACTTAAGGACGTGTAGGCTTAAGCATACTCTCAACATGCCTAAGAGATCCCTCCTCTGTCCTGTAGTGTCTTGTTTGTGAGCATCACCCCAAGTGTGACGCCAAACTGACCAGCAGCCATATGGGTGACTCCATATGAGGCTGCTGGCAGAAGGGTGAGCACACCTTTTTGCACTCCCACGAGTGTTAGGAACACTTGCTCTCTCAGAGTTCCACCTGAGACCTAAGTCCTAGGGACCTAGCACTTACATGTACCCTGGGAACCTGCTGGTTCAACTTGAATACCTGACTTAGTTCTAATTACGGAAGCTGAAAGTCATAGCAGGTAACATAATATGATCACACACGCTGACAAATGTTCACGTTATTGTCTCTCTAACTGTTCTATTACTTGGCTGAAGATTAGCAGACTGAATTTATCTTGTTTCTTGTTTTTAACTAATACATTCTATTCAATGAGAAATCTGCATTTGCTAAGCAAAAAAATGCAACTGCACGTTTTGAAAGGATGTGTCCTTCAACTATTGGACAAAGGTGCTCTATAGAGCTAAGATTTATTGCAAACACCATATTGGTAAAAACCACAGCTTCAGAGCAGTTCTTTCTCAGTCTCCCTGTTGGAGCTACCACCCCACCCCCCCTTATTTCAATTAAAAAAAAAATCTGCCTGGACTTTGCAGCCTATAGACGTGGTAATTTTCAATCTGTTTCTGGTTTGCATAAAGGGGAATGGCACAGAACAAGGAAAAAATGCCAATATCACAGCTCAGAATACCCAACCTGCAAGACAAGGCTTGACCTAGGCATGTAGGGAGTCTAAGCCTTCATTATTTAGCTTTCTTCTATGTTTATTTTCTAAAACCAAAAGCCTAAAAAGAAAAGTTTGGGGCTGAATGTTTTGTCTGAGAGAGAATAAAGCATCTCTGCAAGAAAACAGAAAGGAAGAGGTCTTTATTTCAGCCTGGCTGCCTGTTGTACCCAGGCATATTGCCTGCAAATCTCTGCATATGAAGACAGAAGGACCTTGCTTAACTACTCTTTAGTCCTCTCAGCTGAAAACAGCTTAGCTCCTCCGTGGCACACGCCCATTGTTATCAGTATTCATGCTGCCCACAGATTCTAGGAGCACAAAGACAATGATAAAGAGCATCAGCATCTTGAAATCCCACTTCTCAGCATGCCATAACTTACTTTCAATTTCTTGACCCTTTGTTCCAACTCCTGCATGCTGGTTGGAGGTTTCACTTTTTGTAGCTCTTTCAGCTCTTCCTCAGTTTTATCAAGCCAAGCAGAGATATCGCTGAGATCTGAGTTCAGCTGCTGCCACTGCTGCAATTTCTGTTTCATCCTAAGTTTATTCCTGAGGTCTTGAGCTTGGATGAGCTCCCACCTATCAATAATGCCTACAAATGACAGAACAACAAACGTTTAAATCTTCTGCAAGGTGAAGAGTGTGTAAAACAGATGCAAAGAGTTTTACAAGTAAATTATTCTCCAATCTACCCAAGGCCAAATAATTGCTACCATGTACTACTGTTATCCAGATACATTTTTTCATGAGATTCTGCAGTCTGTAAGTTTCGTTATTACTGGTCAAGTTATCCACGTAGTAATGCTACACAGGATTTTAATCACATTAATTGAGGATGTTCTAATTCACCTGGAAGAACAGAGTAAATCTAAGGAGATGAAATTCCAGTTGTGATTTGTTAGACACCAAAATTCATCATGTGACAAAGTATGATCCAGCAGTTAGAATTTGGGTTTACGTTTCATCAATTCAGCGCTAAAGGAGATGGAGATGCCACCTGTGTGATCACTAACACTATTTCTGGAAGCACATCTAACCCCTCAGAGGTTTTTTCTATTCATCCCATGTATGGGACTCAATCCTGGTCTATTTGTGAGACCACAGACTAAGTAAGCTGGTGCATATAGCTGCAGTCTTCTATCACTTGATTCGCTTTTGCGATTGCAGTACAGATGTGTTATTACAATCTCAAGCACCTGAAACCAGGAATGAGGTCCTTAAAGGTTAAGAGAACCAGCTTGTTGGCCTATTTGGAAGAAAGGAGCACAGTGAAGACAGTGAAGAACAGAATATGTTACCAGCTTTGACAAAACATTTCCATAAATGGGAGCTGTAGCATCTTGTTATATGGAGTACCAATAACTGAGAAAATGAACTACAGCAATCTTATTTTAGACAGAGACACACTTCTTTGGTTTGAAATCTGATTAAAAGTCTCTGAAGTATTCAGTATCACACAGAAGTGAAATTGCTCCCATTCATTCCCACCAGCAAAGAGACAGAAGTGTATTATGAGTGACAAAAAGCTCAGTTCTGGCAGGAAATGTAAAAGCTTGGAACAGCAAATGTGAGTTGGACAGTATCAGGTGAGAATACAGCTCAGCAAATCTTAGCAAAATACATTAATTTAGAGGATAGCAGTTTACTTCTACTTATTCCCAAAGCAAACACGCTGCCTTTGTGCCATCTCTCCTTTGTCTCCCCCAGAGCCTCAGGACACACACCCCAGCACCAAAGGCACTCCTAACGCCCTGTACCTGACTGCTTCTCTGCAGCTGCTATATTCACAAGCTCTTGGTCATCTTGGGGTTCTTCATCGTTCATGTTAGCAGACATAATTTTCTCCTTGTTGATGCTGCTGCTGCTGGCAGAGCTGAGCTGCTTCACCTGGAATGACATTTCGGTGGGTGAGCCCTGCAGGTTAACAAGTCATCAAAGGTCAAACTTAACTTGTATTACTTTGGGGTGGTTGGGATGCCGCTGAGCTCTTGCATGTCAGATTTAGCACTGGGCTTCCGAATCTTTGCTAACAGTTTATACCAGCTGTCTGAGCCTTCTCAATAAACAAACACACATCATAGGGATGCTAATTATTACAAGACTGGACATGGCAGACTAATTGCTTTTGCACTACACGTACTAGACAATGTACATTTGCAGATGCTTTTTATTGGATTCTGGGTCTTGGCAATATTGGCTCGAAGGCTCTAAGCCTGGATTAATAATGACAAAATCAGCCAGAAACCAGTACCATCTTGTGCCTGGAAGAGTGCTGACAACTGGTCCAGATGCACTGAGCCTGGCAGCTGCTGGCGAAGACTGAGGTACCAACCACCAATAGCCATTTCGGCACATTTTTCAGTGCCCAGAGGCAGATTAAATGGTGGGTTGCATGCTAGAAAAGGACCCTTCAAACCAGTCTGCTTAGGAAAGGGAGATATGTCAGTAATATCAAGGGAAGATATTGACACCCTCTCATTGGGCAAGGTAAATTCTCCTAGACTTGTCCTACAACAGTAGAGGAAGTCAATTCCTCCAGACACTGACTCTGATCAGGAGCCTAACATGATTGTTCTGAATTGCTTTAAAGAAGCTTTTCTAGTGAGTGGATAGAGACTCTTACTGGTTACCTGAGCCACCATAAATAATGTCTAACTTTGCATAGAGTGAACATTCCCCCCACAACTAATCTTTTCCTCAATGCTGGAGGAGGTAGGAGGATGGAGTTACACAGGAACAACAAACAGACTGTGTAGTACAGGTTCAGTGCCCACAGAGCCTCCAACTCACATAGTCTGGCTTATAGGGAGTACTTGTCTCTGGACCAGACAACACATTTCCAACCATCTCTGCCTGGTTGTATCGGTGTTTTCTGCACACTGGGCTATCTGGAGAATGCCAAGGATGAGCTTCTGAAGCAGACTTTCCTGAAAGAAATAAAACCAAAACCATATGCCACGAGTGCAAAATCCCATCTCCACAAGGAAGCTGTTGCTTTGTATTAAGTTAGAAAGCGCTCTGAATAAAATGGCATCAAGTTATGGCATAAAAATGACAGTATTGCAGCTTTCCTTGCAAAGCATGCACATTTGCAAAACATCAACGGTGTTTCAAAGGTAATGAGATGAGAGCCATGCAGTTATGGGACATTCTGTTTTCTTCTGGAAAATGCTTGAATACAGGTATGAGTATTCAAAAAATAAAAGAAAAAGGCTGCACTGTGGTTTTGGAAAGTTTGCATCCCAACAATACTATGACATATCTGCAACGCATTTCAGTAGCAACAAGTATAGACATGTCCTGATTTGGAGAACGTTCGTTCTGGAGTTAAAGACAGGACACACACGGTTCTGTCATGCACAAACCCCCCCAAAATACTTGCAGAGTTGGAGCTATTTCCTTCAGTAATTACGCAATCAAAATTAGAACAACCAAAAAAAGTGCTACTACCCAGAGCAAACCACCAAGAAGGTACCAAAAGACTTTGGATCAATACAATGAAATGCACATTAACCACCTTGGCATTTACCAGGCAAAATCTAAATGATGTGTTCTTGACTGCTTTGTAATGTACATGTGAATACTGCAGCATAAGAACACCATGACAGGATGAGACATGGTGTCCACACAAGGCAGGAAGTCAGACATTACATATGAGAGAGGTTGAGGAATATAGCGTGCAGCACAGGGAGATTGCCATGTTCAGACACATGCATTAGCAGGTGCCTACCAGAAGATGCTTTCAAAGTTTTTGTGGTCATTTTAAGATATGCCTCAGGATTTTCAGTGATTTCTACATCTGAAAAAAGAATAATGTCATTTTCCTCACTATTCAATATTTTCCAACTATTAAAAACAACTGAAACAATGAGGGACAGCAAAGACAAAGAACAATATAAGTTGTTGGTGCTATTTTCATCAAACATTCTTAAAAAGTAAAGTTTCTAAAAACCTTATGTTTCTGAAAATATAAGCTTGGTTTAGACAATACCATTCCGTTCCTTCATCAAGACATCAAGAGATGAGACTGCTCATATCTATTAATAGTACTTGAAAACCAACCAACAACGTGGGATTAAGAACTCAATCCCCCTCCCTTCCCACACAGGGACATCCTGCAGTTGTCCATGTCAAAACAAACAGCTGGCAATTGGTTCTCACCTGACAGAGCACTGTAGTATGTTGCTTCTTCTTCGTCTTCGTGAGAGGAAGAACCTCCCACATCACCTGTATGATCCCATTCGAGTGGGATGGAGTCAACACTGACAGGGGTTTCACAGCCCGATCGTTCATGACCTTGAGAAGGGGGCATAAGGTGGCAAAGGGACTGTGGTGAAGAGGGCCCCTCACTGATGGCCTTCTTATGCCAGGGATCGTTCTGGATTTCTCTGGAGTCTTCTGGATCTGTCTCATTTTCAGAGGTCTCTTTTTCATCATCCAATCCCTAAAAAGAAATAACAATTATTGCATACCAATAGGATTTACAATAGATCTACACTGCTTAATGAGCTAATGATTGAGCCACACACTACTACTGGGGACTGTTTTGCAGTTAGCTGCAGTAATCGAAGACCACATGCCTAAAATTAAAGGGAAGCGTCATTTCTGCCTCCTTCCTCGTTTGCCAAAACAATCACAGAATCATAGAATGGTTTGGGTTGGAAGGGACCTCAAAGATCATCTAGTTCCAACCCCCCTGCTGCAGGCAGGGACACCCTCAGCTACCTCCCCTCTTTCATGACACTCAACCACCACTATAACACCTCTTTCCAGTTTGCACGCAGGGGTACCCAGTTCCAAACAGACTGCACAGGTCAGCAATGAAATGAAGCTCAGGCAGGGGTGAACAGCTGCTTGTAGATGGACACATTACTTTCTCTACCTGGCTTTTAAAAAGATGTTCTTTCTTTTTGAGCCAAAGCAAACTGAGAATCAGCTAAACATTCCCAGTGAAAAGCAAAGAGCATGCTGTTCCCCATTCGGGGTTCCCACAAGAAAGTGGACAGATGGAGCCTCACAAACAAAACCATAACGAGATATTCTAAGCACGTTACTGAAATGAAACAAAACAAAGTGATACTAAAAACACCAAAAAAGCTTCTGAAGCCCTCAAGCCACTACTATCTAAATAGTAACCCTGTGAATTACTTCCATGCTATTATCCAGATTCTGCAGATGGAGACCCAACATGAGAGGCATGAGGAGACAAGACTGGCGACAAAGATTTAGCAAAGCTGGCACAACTACTACGGAGCTCCTGACCCTTTTGAGCTCAAACCAACCAAGTGAAGCTGCTAGGGATAAGCAATGAACATTGCAGTTCAAACACCAAAATCTTGCAAAGCATCTAAACAACTTTTGCTTCTTACAGGATGCCTTGAAGTCAGTCTTTGATGGAACCGGGCAACTCGCCCAAACACTTCCTGACAGTATCTATGAAGTTCTTCCAATTCGTCTTCAATCAGGGTAGCATCCAAAGGCTCACTCTTCTGAATCAACTGCTCCCCAAAAACGATTAGCTGATCAATCTTATTCGTGTTTAGTGTTATTTCCTGCTGGAAACCCTATTTGGAACATACAAGAAAAACAATTACTTCTGCAACGTCCCTTTCTAGCCTAAGGTTTGTCCTTTTCTCGCTCACTGCAGTGACAGAAAAGCAGCAAATGACATTGTTGTTTAATTTCATTTGGCAAATATCTTTTTACTCAAGCGGTCCAGAGGTTTGTTTTATTAGTATTACAGATCCAATTAAGTGGCATTTTCCACCCATGTGTACATCAATATCATTGCAGTGTCCTGAGCCTGCAGGGGATCACAATATGAGAGTTTAGCTAATCAGAATTTATTTTTCTGTTGGGTACACACAATCTTTTTCTCAGTAACAAAGAAGTTTAGCTGGTTGGGCCTCCAGCCTACACAATAGTAAATTTGCATCTCAAAACAATTAACAGTGCAGAGGTAAAGGAGAAACAAGCACAGGAGCAGGTAACAAAGAACTAGTATTTTCTTTATAATCGTTGCACATGCCTGCTGTCTTATTTCTGTTTGAAAGTCCCAGCTACAAACAATGCACTCAGAGGAGAGATCCTACCTTAATGCCAATTCAAAAGAATTCTCCCCAGAAAAGAATGCCTGAATTTAGGAATGTAGCTTTTACTGTTAACATGCATGTGCTCCTTTCCAGGCCTGATATCACTGTCACTGACACTTGCGTTAGGAGAAAACGGCAGAATAGAACTGAGCTTGAACACTGAATCTGAATTTAAATACTGTACAGTTTAATCTTCATTCGGGGGATAAGGCTTAACAATTTACTGGTGTCTTAAAACAAATATAGCCCTACAGAGATCTGTTGGCTATTGTAAAGTTCCAGAAAAGTAGATGATTCTGTCAAGAAAGGGCAGCCCAATAGGATCAGCTGGGCTGTATTAAACAACTGCTTTATAAGGATACGTACATTTAACTGGCGCATTTTGTCATCAAAGTTACTTTTTGAGAAGTGCTCCACATTTGTCAGCTGGAGGTCCATTTCCGTGAGCCAAACAAGGATGCTTTCCCTCGTCCCCTCAAACTCATCCCTCCGATTGGTGAAGTGCTGAGTAGGAAGAAGGGAGCCAGTGTTACAAGACTTCAGCTACTAAAAAAAGATGGTCACAGGAGTCCTCGGAAAACAGTGTTTTGTTTCAAAACTGCTGTTCACCTTAAAGGCCTTCAGGGCACAAATGCCAGCATGCCACATATAAAAACTATCCCCTTCCTGTAGTAATGCTGGAACAAAGTGTCCTATGTTAGTACACTATTCATATGTGAGAGGGAATAAAACTTCAGCAGTGCAGGATGCTTCTATAAAATTATATTCTTGCTTCCACACTGTATACCTTCTTCCACATCATTATACCAGTGTAACAGTTATATGCACTCAGATTTAACATCTAATTTATTCTAAATTTAGAAGCCAGGCAGACAAAGGAAGTAATTAAAATTATAATCTCTAAAGTAACTAAAACTATGACATTGAAATCAGTGAAACAATGGAGAAGCTGGATCATGGATGACCATGCCAGTGTAATTAATGCATCCTTTGGCCTGGAAGCCAGGAGGAACTCTCTCTGCTGCCATCTCCCACAGAAGTTGCTAACAGACACGCAGCTGCCGTGCCCCAGTTCTCCTCGGTGGATTTACTGTTCAGGAAGGGGATTATATAACATCCCAAACACAACACCTCCCAACTGCACAGATCAAACCCCATCAGTGCTCTCACAGCCTCATCCACTGACTTTTGGGATCTAACAGTTTTCCCTGTCAATTGCTCGCAGCACTGCTGTATTTAAAAATCAGACAGCGACAAGTTTCCCCCAGGGCACAGCACAGAATATCTGCCCAGAGATCACTTTAACTCGAAAAGCAGGACACTTCTTTGAAGCGTTAACAAAGACACTCTTCGAGAATGTTCCTCTGTTAGGCAGAGAGCACAGCAGGAGCTGATGACAGTAGCATGCCTCTCCATCACATCTCCCTGTTTAAAGCCTTGTAGGTGAATCATAACTTGGCATAAAGCAGAGCTGCGTTGTAAACTCCAAACCACACCTGCACTGGGGCCCTCTTCTCTCTCTGTCTTGTATTTATGGAAAGGTGCAACTGCATGGATGCACCCACTCATGACAAGACTAGGTAAGAGTGAGATAGGAGCAGTAAGGCCTGCAACACCCCTTCCAAAATTTGCACCCGCTCTTCCTTGACGTTTCTTCAACTACCAAGAACCCATCTACCAAAGACATGTTTAAGCCACGTATTTGGTGACCTTTCCAGAGCTGCTCTCCAATGCTGGTAACTCAAGACACAAACCAACACAAGATAGTTGCTCCAGTATGTGTTTTGCCCTTGGGTAATTCCTACAGAAACTTGCAAGTGCTCCTCACTCTCTCACCCCACTGTGCAATTACCTTGAGTCTCCTCAGAATGGCAGCGACTCGTTTCTGGAGGTTATCCCAGCGCTGGTTGCCTTCGTGTACCATCTGCTTCAACTTGCTGGCTGAGTCTGTGCGGTTCTCGCGGGCAAGGCGCCTGTATTGCTTATTGATCAGCTCCAACTGAGTGAGTCGTTCATGAATTTGCCGTTGGAATGCCTGCAAGGCAAATCAAGGAATTCAATTCCCTTGCTAATAAGAGAAAGGATCCGGATGATACTATCCGTCAGGAGAGACAATGATGCCCTCCCTTTAAAAACTGGAAACTGCAGTTTAAAAACTTCCAACTGCGGAATTAAACCCAGAGAAGGACCTATATTTTAAATCATCTGCTCAGACTTAGCTCATTAGGAAAAGGAAGGAAAAAAAACCCACCAAGCTCAATCCACAAAGGTCTCCTGCCTTTAAAAAACAAATATTTAGCTTATAAGCAGGATCTTGTCAGTTCAGAGCATTGGATTCTCCACATTAAAAAAAATTCTGGACACAAATAAAAGAGTCAGATACCTAGCAGCCACACGCTGGCCAAATTATTTATGTTCTCTATACCTCCACTGCCGAACTGGTGTTTTTCAGTGATCCAGGCATTTCACACAGGCAGTAAGTACTTAGCAGTCTGACCATTCAGCATGCTGCTGAGCATAAAAAAATGAAGTTAAAAAATTCACCTCAAATTTCTTCAGCTCCTCCTTTGCATGTGTGTACAAAACCTCTGAAGAATTAGGCTTAGCTGCTGTCCTTTCAGATGAGTTCAGCCAATCTTCAAAGCGAGAATAGTCATCCAAAAACCTCTGCCATAGGCGCCAGGTTTCCTCGATTCTGAGAGGGAGATGCAAAAATGGAAAGGTTTTATCACAAGGTAACTATTAATTTTGGATTTTTTTTCCTTTTTCAAAATTCAGGTCATGGCAAAAGCTACAGCATTTCTTCTAAATGATGCCACGTGGTTCTTTAGGAGGGGTAAGAAAAAGAGACTTACTTCATTCGCCTTTCCATAGACATGGCGCAAATGTTTCTCCACCGTCTGTCCAAACTCCTGGTAGTCTGCTGGATGGAGTCACACTCCGTCTCATTAGCACATGCATCTGAATCGTGTAGCAGGACTTCACAAATATTAAACACGGATTCCACCCCTGCGGTGTGTTGCTCTATGTCTCGTTGCAGATCCTGCCATTGGCAAAAGAGTAGCTTGAGTAGAAGGAAACACGCGCGGCTAGACTTCAGATATACCCTTTCAAAATGCTGCAGAGGATGGGGAAAGAGCAATTTGTGTGTCAGGAAAAGCTTATTTAGCTTTAGAAAACAGACTTGCAGGATGAGCTGTGCAGATGACAGGCTGACAGCTCAGGACAGAACTGTGATGCAAAAAGGGATTGTCCAGCTTTGGTTTCTTAGTGAAAGCTCAATCTTCTCATTAACAGTCTGGACAATTTTAATGTGGAATTAAAATACAAACCTTACACATACTGTAAACACATACTTACTAATTTTGACAGTACAAGATGAGTGTCTCAGATCAGCTTACTACACTGTAAGACTTGACAAAGAACTCGTAGTACAGTTCATGTACTTATACTGACTATACAGGCTGCTATCAGGAAACACAGAAACACAGCACACAAGTAGCTGTGTTACACTACTTTTCTTCTTCCCTCTTGCAGAGCTCCTGTTTTGACAGACTATTTTAAAGGGTCTGGCAAGGACCTTTTGTTTAATCTACACTACAGGTTTCTTCTCCAAAGCCTGCATCCCCATCACAGTCTGGCCTCTCATTCTGTACCTATAACTACTCCTAAAGTCAATGTAATTGAATAACAGAAAAAGAAGGCCTTATCTAAATATTTCTTATTGAAAAGGCAGCTCTGTACAATGCTACCAACCGTAAATATTAATGAAATGACAATATCCACTACATTTGCACTTTTTCAGCCCATTTCTGGCTTTGCTAATGAAGAATATGGAGACTTTTGCTTGAATAACACTAGAACCACAGACACAAATGAATATTTTACTGACAACAGTGAACAGGAATTCCCACTAAATGGTATTACTGATTTCAGTGAACGGATGAAGCAGAATTGGTTTGCTCTAGACTAAGACAATCAAACCAAAAACCCCCAAAACAAACACAGCTTCTAGTAAATACAAAAGGACTTGAAGGAAGATCTTCCCAGAAGTCAACAAGCGGCAAGGAGTTGAGTATCACCCACTGGCAGTCTTCAGTGGTGTTACGTGGGTATCTGAAAGGGCTGAGCCATAAATCATCAAAACTTGGCTTGTGGGATCTGTGGTAATGTACAGCTTAAGGAATGTAGAAGCCAAAATCTTTACATAGACTACTAGAAGCAGACCCAACATGACTTTTGTCAGCTTATTAAGGATTCACAGCTGTTTTCTGAGCAAGAGGCAGCAGTATCTTTTCAACACAGGCTCTACATCTGAGAGCAGGCTCTACCCCACTACTGGTACCTGGAGAGACTCTTCTGAATTCATTAAATTACACAGGATTTACAGCTGTATTAGTGAAAATGAGAATTTGGAGCACAGATTACAAATCCACTCTATGTGCACTATGGTAATGCTGCTGACACGATCTCATTATTTCTGGTCATGCCTGGGTTCATGCAATAACCCTAGGCAGAATCCTTGCTGTTTTCCAAGCTGTTATTCCAAATGACCTGACTTTATTACAGTGAGACAAACGCAACAAACTAAGTCACGGGGCCAGGAACGTACATTGAGCCCCAAAGAAGTACTTCTCCTTCAACTCTGCACAGCATTGCCCACAGAGCTTAAACAGACTACACGCTGCTAGATTTCTGCATTAGTGAAAGAGCTTTGAAATATTAAAATTAATATTATTCATGTTTTACTCGTCATCCTTTAATTGAACAAGCATGCCATAAAACATCTCTGTGGATGCACAATGCTTTTAAATGTCATTATTCAAGACTGAACAGGTAAAGTTTCTCCAGTCATGGGTGTCAAATAAAAGAAGCCTGTAGGGCATATTTCTCACCATCACTCTGCTCTTGCTGAAATAATTGTTCGGATAAAACCAGGAAAGATCTTTTTACTTGTCAATGCGGACCGAAAGAGGCTTTTTTTTTTACCGTGGTCTTTTTAGTCAGCAGAGTCTTCTCACACTCAGCCTGCTAAAAGGTTACAGTAGAAGGAGTCTAGAAGTGCCCAGAGGTCTGTGTTTGAAGCAGAATCAAAACAACGAAGGCAGTAAGTAGCTCTGAGCAGCAAATGATGGCTCTTACAGTGAGCTGAAGCTTGAATACTTGTAAGAAAAAGAAATTAGTTTGGACACAATTCCTTTGTGCCCCATGTTCTTCTCTGCCTGGCAATTTATCACAGCCTTTGAGAATGTAAAAGGTTTGGACAGGAAGAAAATACTTCCTTGCTGTTTACATGACCGTTTACATGACCCACTGCTGAATGAGGTGGGTGCCTGGTGACGGAGGATACAGAGAAGGTGGAGTTACCGAATGCCATCTTTGCATTGGTCTTTACTGCTAAGGCTGGCCCTCAGGAATCCCAGACCTTGAGGTAAGAAAGAGAGTCTGGAGAAAGTAAGTCTTTCCCTTGATTGGGGAGGATCAGGTTAGAGATCATTTAGGCAAACTCAACATCCACAAATCCACGGGATCCAATGGGATGTACCTACAAGTGCTGAGGCAGATGTTATTGCTAAGCCACTCTCCATCATCTTTGAAAGGTCATGGAGAACAGGAGGTGCCTAAGGACTGGAGGAAAGCCAATGTCACTCTGGTCTTCAAAAAGGGCAAGGAGGAGGACCCAGGAAACTATAGGCCAGTCAGCCTCACCTCCATCCCTGGAAAGGTGATGGAACAGGTTATTCTGGGGGTTATCAATAAGCTTGTGGAAGAAAAGACGGTTATCAGGAGCAGTCAACATGGATTCACCAAAGGGAAATCATGCTTAACCAATGTGATAGCCTTCTATAATGGCATGACTGGCTGGATAGATGAGGACAAAGCAGTGGATGTTGTCTATCTCGACTTCAGCAAGGCTTCTGACACTGTCTCCCATAACATCCTCATAGGTCAGCTTTGGAAGAGTGGGTTAGATGAGTGGACAGTGAGGTGGATTGAGAACTGGCTGAATGGCAGAGCTCAGAGGGTTGTCATAAGAGCTGCAGAGTCTGTTTGGAGGCCTTTAGCTAGTGGTGTGCCCCCGGGGTCAGTACT